CTGCAGGCGGGAGGGCAGGACACGGGCAGGGGCCCCCGCACCCTACCGGGGCTGGGGGGGCGGAGGGGCTGAGATTATTTTTTTTTTAAGGAGCATGGTCAGGGTGTCCCGCTGGGTGACAGCAGGGACAGGGCTGAAGTGATGTCCCCTGTGGGTGGGAGCATCACCCAGCCCCGGGGCCGGCTGGTGGGCGATGGGATGCAGCGCCCAGCCCTTGCCTGGCAATTATGGAGGGCTTCGCCCCCCTGCTCCCAGCATCTCTTATTGCCCACTGGGAACAGCTGGGTTAAAGCACAAATAATTAATAATAAAAATACTGGGAGCTCCAGAGGTCTCTTGTCCTGGCTCCTGCTTGGGGTGGGACCATGGCCAACACTAGGCTGGGCTTTGTTTAGCCAAGCCTTGAAAACCTCCAAGGATAGTCCCCAAGACTCCCCTCTGGTGAAAAAGCCTTTCCTAAACACCAGCCTGAATGCCCCAGGTCTCAGTCTGCCCCTCATCACATCAAATGGCTGCGGTGACCATCCTCCAAATGCCAGCCAGGAACACACCTCCATGAGGGATGTGGGGACCACCAGCACTCGGGCTGGGGGTACGTCACGCACGCCGGGTGCTCCGTTCCCCACAGACGGCCCTTCCAGCTCACAGGATGACAGAAGACGTTGAGGCAGGACCCAGCATTTCTGCTCCATCAGCTGTAAGCACACTTTGGGCGAAATGAAACTCAGAAATATCAGTGCACCCTGGGGCTACAGACTAATTAAAATCAAGGCAGCCCATAAACCAGCTAGCTGAACAAAACAGCAGCAGTATGGTACAAAGTGGCAGAGGGGTGAAAAAAATATTAGGGAAGTTTCTTTAATGTGTGTTGTATCATAAAAGCAATTGTTTAAATGGCTTTTCTAGTGCTCTCAGCAGTAAATACTTCTGAAAAACACGCTGAGCAAATCTCATCTTCCTCTTTCATTTACCGCCTTGTAAATTGAAAAATTATGGTAGGAATAAAAATCCTCAGTGCTTGCGAGCAGCTGGTTTGTTTGCAGCCCCCTCTCCTCGCTCAGTCCACTGCGGCTCCTGGCTGCAGCCAGGCTGTGGCAGCTCGGGGCTGTGTTTCCCAGAGCCCTCCCAGGCCTGGGGAGGGCAGGGGACGCTGGTGGTGCCATGTGCCCTCTCAGAGGTGGAGCGAGAGATGGTCCCTGTGCAGGACCTAGCTCTAAACAGGTGCAGGCGAGAGCAGCTAAGCCTGGGAGAGAGCGGTTTGCAACGCAGCTGGGTTTCCCTGCAGCCCTGAGCAGACAGAGAAGTGTTTGGGTTGGGCTTGGCCACACTGCAGGTAAGAATGGCCAGGGTGTCAGCCAGCTCCCCTCCTGGGCACCCCTCCAGGGCACACTGGGCATTGCTGCTCCTTGGCTGCAGTTCTGAAGCCCTCTTTCTTCTAGCACCAACATGGTCTTTACACATACAGATAAGGCAGGTGCTAGCATGGTGACTACCCTTCGGAAATCCAGCTGCTATAGCCATCACTAAGTGCCAGCTAATGAGTTAGTTCTGCCTTGACTCCTTTGGTCAATGTTGCATTAATCCATGCAGAGAATGTTTTCTTTGGATCATAGTGGCTGACAAGTGGCAAGAAGCTTTAGGC